GGCTATTGTCTATCACCCTTTTTCAATGTTCTTATCAACACTCCCCCACCTCCCAACAATTTCCAGCTTGTCACTACACAAAACCCAACCTCAAACTCTGGTGCACCCCTCAATTCCAATGTAGGCTGCAGTATAGTGGAAACTTCAGTTGGCTGCAATTGCTGATTCCTAACATTTCTCTCACTTTCCTCCAGATCTCTTCACTGCCAACGCTGTAACATTCCTTGCTGGTTCTACAGTTATCCTCTCAATTCCTCTACCTGATTCCTATTATCAGGGAAGCTGATCTAAGACGCACATGAGACCCAAAGAGGGGAAGGGAAAGGTGGAGAGGGCAAGTGCCAGGCAGCCATACAATTGCCCTGACCATGGGCAATGGGCTCATCTTTGCTTTCAGACCTGTGAACAATCCAGCTCCAAAATGCACACAGAAAAGACCATGTGAGGACACAGAGGGGAAGTGGCCATCTGTAAGCCCAGGAGAGAGACCTGCCAACATGTTGATCTTGGACCTCTATCTTCCAGAACTGTGAGAGAACAAATTTCTGTTGTTTAAGCCACCCAGTGTGTGGTATTTTGTTATGGCAGCCCTGGCAAACTAGCACAGCATGTGACCATCTCTGGCCAATGAAACGTGAGGAAAAGTGTGCTGGAGGTCTGTGAGCCAAGCTTGCTCTCTCTGAAAAAGGAGCCACAGGAAGAGATGATCCCTCTTTTCCCTTGTAAGTGGTCCAGGAACACCAATAGCCATCTTGTCCTCAGACACAGGAGGTAGCCAAGGTAGAGAGGCCGAAAGAGCCTAGGTCCTTCAGACATTGAGCGGCTGCTGATCAACCAAGCCTGGAGCTGTCCTCTCTCTCCATTTCCTATTTCATGGAGTGATGTGTTTGCTTTTCGGTTAGGCTACTTTGAGATGGGTTTTCTGTCAGTCAGAGCTGAAAGCATCCAAACTGACCTAGACCTGAACTAACAAATGTGAAGGGCAGTGGGATTTGGAGGAGGTGGTGTGAGAACAGATTCAAGAGGAAGTGGGAGGTGGAATCACCCGGACACAGTCACTGATTTGTGATGAAGGTGTTAGAAGGGGCAATGTCCCTAAAATAGATCCACCATTTTTGTCTGTTAGATACTGTCAATGGTAGGTTGTTCCAAGATTTATGTATTAGTACCACTATGAATGAGATGCATAGTGGTATTAAAGATGTCACAATATGAAAAAGATGTGTCTTAGAATCAGTCAAAGAAAGTACCAGAACAAGTATAAATTTGGAGCTTTGCTTCTTTGGTGCTATCTTATTTTCCTCTGTCAATATTTTTGAGTATTTTTTGTAAATCAGTACCTTGATGCTACAAAGATAGAAACTATTAGCTTCACAAAAAAGAGATTCACAGTTTTTTTCTTAAAACTGCAATATTATTAGTGCTGAGGAGGATCTGATCAGTTCTATTTCGGCTGAAGGGAGGACTTGAGAAGTGAAGGTTGACATCAGGATGGGAATGATACAGGAAGTTGGAAGCATCATTTGACTAAATCATTTGATTTAGTCTCAAATGCACTCTGTAGTAAATTTTCACTAATTTATGGCAAAATGAGAAAATTAAGGACAATGTAGTGAGTCTTTCTGTGAAATTAGATTTATTCAGTCTAAAGTTTTATATTTATTTTGAAATGATCTGTTTCCTATTTTGTTGGTAAAATTTTATTTTTCTGTGAAATGATTATGGTAGATGATTAATTTTTTAAAAAAGTTTTTTAAACATTTTAAAAAAAAGGAACACAAAAACTTCAAAACAACTCTAGTTAGTCTCTTCATGTATTTTTTTTTTTTTTTTGGAAAACGCACAGGTGCGTGAAATCCTGAATCAGGGTGAGTGCTCCTAGGCTAGCAGGTGACCTTTAAGATTTGTCCTTTAGAGCCTGCCAATAGCATGAGTTATCACTGTGTAAAGAACCTGCCCTGAGTCCTCACCTGCACCGGGCATCGTGCCAGGGGAGGGTGGGCTAGTGGCCTAGGCCAGGCCCCGCTGGGCTTTCTCCATAAAGGGCCCAGCGCATCACCCACAGCAGGGGCCTCTGCAGAGAAAGCTCCACCCAGCAGGCAGCTGACTCTGAGCTCCTGGCTGCTGTGAGGGAGGAGGCAGCTCCCTGTGCTGGAGGGAACTCAGCTGAGATTCGCACATGTCTGTGAGTGGGGGGATTCCTGGTTTGAGCTCAGGTCTGCCTTTGGTCCTAGCGATGTGTGGAATTTAAACAAAATGCAAAGGGCTTTGGAGTCATTATAGGATTGGACTGGGGCGGGAGCAGGGATGTAGAGAAAACAGATGATAAAGACAATGACCTTCTTGCTTTTCTTTAGACTATGATGAACCAACTTGGCTCCTGCTGTTTCTCATTTGGCCACCAGAGGGTGGAGTGAAGGTTGAGTCTCTTGTCTGGGGGCAGTGGTTCCTCCACTCAGCTCCAGTGTTGAAGGAGAACAGAACTGGCTGGGTGGTTCCCAGGATGCTGGTCTCTCCTGGGCTACAGGGAGTGTCTTTGAGATGCGGGGAGGGTGACTTGGATGTAGGAAAAGTGCTGGTTTGTGGCCTCTTGTTGGAAGAATCTGGCCTGTAGCACTGAGGGTGTTGCCTGAGGCATGTCCTGGGTCCAGCTTTGTGTCTCTGTGTGGTCCCTCCCAGCCACTCCCCACACGTGTGGCCTTGGCCATGGGATTTCCATGGGAATTGCGTGCTGGTTGCTTGCTGCCCAGAGAATATTCTTTCCCCAGTCTTCTGCTACACAGAAAGTAACAGTGGCATTTTAAAATTTATATTTGTTCATATTTATTTTTTTGATTTTTACGAAAGTAAAGGCTGTTTCTAAATGTCTTCTCACTTAATCTTCATGAAAACACTTCATTAGCTCTGTTTTAGGTATGAGGAAACTGAGGCTCAGATATGTTAAGTACCACTCCAAGGACACTCAACTAGTAGGCACTGAGTTACTTACACGTGAATACCTGGAACCTTAAAGCTTGTCATTACTGTCATTGCCATAGCCTTGTAGAGTAGTCTGCAGACTCTTTAGCCTTAAGATTAGCATTTAAGGTTCTTCATTCTGTGCCTCTGCTAAACTCTTGCCCAGGCTGGTCTCAAACTCCTGGCCTCCAGTGATCCTACAGCCTGGCCTCCCAGAGTGCTAGAACTCTAGGTGTAAGCCCATGCCATGCTTATCTTTTATCATGTTTTCTTCTCAATATAATTTTCTGTTGACTTATCAACAATTCCCTCCAGCGCAAACTCTTGGGGGGATGTTTAATTTCTATGACTGCCCAGTGCTTAGGGCAGGGCTGGGCACAGGGTGAGGTCATGTGGAGGCAGGCATCCCTCAAGCCTGTGCTGGGTGTTGGGTAGATGAGCTGAATGAATATGACAGTGGGTATCTCTGTGTCTGACCACTCCGCCAGGGAGGCTCTGCTACCGTGGGGTGGAATCGCTTGGAAATAGTGACCAGGAGAGGCTGGGTTTTGTGACAAATCAGCAGAGACAATAACAACATGCATATTCTCTAGAGGTGGCAAATACTTCCTCCCAGAAGGGGTCCTGCTCTTCTGCGTCTCCATCTCTGCCCAGAAGCTGCAAGGAAATCAAAGCCGAGTGCCCCAGCGCAGGTGGTGAGTGATGAGACATTCAAACACAGCCCTCTCACGGCAATCAGGGTTTTGTCCTCTGGGAAGTTTTTCTTTTTAAAGTTAAGAAAAAATTGTTGTAACATGTATATATATTACATATGGGATGATATTTGCCACTTTACTTTTAAATGTACAACTTATCTGCAGTAATTACCTACACAACCTTGTGCAACCATCACCACCATCCATCTCTGGAACTGTTCATCACCTCTGTACCCACTGAGCAACAGCTCCACATTGTCCTCCCCCCCAGCCCCTGGTAGCTGCTATTCTGCTTTCTGTCTCTATGGATTTGCCTTTTCAAGTTACCTCATATAAGTAGAGTCATGTGATATTTGTCTCTTTCTGTATGGCTTTTTTCACTCAGCAAAATGTTTTCAAGGTTGATCCTTGTTGTAGTATGGATATGTAGTTCCTTTTTATCCACTTGTGCAAGTATACATATGTAAACACACACTCACACACACACATATACCCTGCATTTTGTTTGTTCATTAGTGATGAATTTTTGGGTTGTTTCTCAACTCAAATATCGTTGTGACTCTTGTCACTCATGCTGCAATGAACACTGCTGCACTAGCATCTGCTTGAGTCCCTTTCCCCAATTCTTTTGCATATAAACCTAGCAGTGGAGTTGCTGGGTCCACTCCAGGATAATTCCATGTTTAATCCTGATAGGTAATCGGCCACCTGGCCACTGGAGTTTTGCTTCACCTCTGCGTGTTCTGCCTCAGCCTCAGGAGCCGGGCGAATCTACTGGACG